TTCCTTTCTTCTTGATCTCGGTCCCTAAGGAAAAAGGCATTAGATTGATACCCAACGCTTGTTGGCAAGGACTGTTTGTTTTACTGCATCAACAAATTGCTCGACTGAGGGTGCTTGCATACACATTCTATCAGCACCCTTCTTCATCCGCAGAGCATTTTCCTCCGGGCGAAAGAGTAGAATCCTATCATCCGCTGTTCTGTACGCCTTTAGACCTTCAAACAGTCCCTAAAGAAAATGGTTTTGTTAGATATTTAGGATTAAACCCCACATTCATCAACAATTCCAAAGTCAGAAAAAAGTCGCAAAATTAAATCTTTTTGTTTACCTGTCCATATTGGAGAACTGTAGAGCACGGGCTGAGCTCAATGTTCCTAAAGGGGGTGAGGGTTCCTTGAGCAAAATTCAGTCCTTCTTTGCTTTGTGCCATGTACATGTAGTCAGTTGGAGTAAGAGAAAATCCAAGCTCATCCCAGTTCACATCAGCATATTTTCCAACCTCATTACTGTTTAATGTTAACAATAGATATCAATTCATGGAAGGAGGAAAGCAATGACGAAGGAAAGAAGAAGGAGATCCATACCCTTCGACATGTTAATCAAATGAAAAACAGACTGATTTATACAATACCTGTGGGGGATGGATTCAGAAGATTTCTGCATTCTGTAAACGGAGCTGTAGATGCGGCAGAGGTAGTGGAGAGTATCAACTATAAAGAAATATAAATGTAGGCAGTCAGAGAGCAGGTGGGCATAGGCAGGGGCGGTCGCGGTTAATTCCATTGGCTTTTATTTTAACATTTTTAAAATTAATCAATAAAATTCTTAAATTAATCTAATTTATTATTATACTCTAATTAAATTAATTTAACTTAAATTAAATTAATGTGATTTAGTTGAATTGATAAATATGTAATGTTATTTAAATATATTTAATAGCAGCATTTCACATGATTCAGTGACAATTTGTTGTCCTAAAAGGCAACCTGTGGTTTGTACTTTCAAGTGCCGAGTTCAATACCTTCCATTAACACCTCTAACATATTAATCTTTAACCATTGCTCTAAAAAAAAAAAAAAAAAGAAGAAACAGTGCTAGGGGCGCTCGCTTTTTGCACTCTCTGGACGACACTTCCCCTTTCATTGGGCCACGTAAACTTCTTTAAGCTTTTGGGCGCAATGTCTTGTAAACCAAAATAACGTGCCCAATAAAAGAGAAAGTGTTGGCCGGAGGGTGCAGGAGGCGAGTGCCCCTAGCATTGCTCTATATTTAATTAAACAAAAACTCTAAATATCAACTTATAGAAAATATAATTATAAAATATATTAGATAATAAAATAATAATAACTAATGATCTAAGCAATTCAGTGTCCACCTCTTTCGTTAGAAGTAAGAGCTCATGAGTTCGAATCGTATGATATGCAGATAAGGTGGGATAAGAGATATGAGATGGTTACCTTGCAACTAAGATTAAAAAAAAAAAAACAATAGTACTAATAAAACAAACAAGACGTTTTCGGTCTTTCACTCTCCACTACCTCCCAAACACCAAAAAAAAAAAAAAACAAAACAAACAAGACATGTAAATTTAAGTTAGTGGCATTGGAGATGGTAAGGAGTTCTAAGGGCAAAGTTTTTATTTGTATAAGAAATTATTTAGATAAGTATTGGTGATATAAGTAGGGATGTCAACGGGGCCGGGGACCCCTTCCCCATCCCCGTCCCCGTGAGTCACGGGGACGGGGATCTCCGCGGGGATTTTTTAGGGGGGCAGATTTTGCCCCCCGTCTCCGTTCCCCACGGGGATCCCCATTCCCCATGGGGAACGATAGCAATAGCAATGGCAGCAGATGGCAGCAGATGGCTTCGTAGCAGCAGCAAATCGCTCTAGCGGTAGCAAAGTAGATGGATCCAGTCCGATAGCAGGCCAGCGGCAGAGCATATTCATACAAGCAACAAATCATTGAATATCATTCACTTTTAGCAAATTCATACAAGTTTAAGCACCAAACATCAAGAAATTGCAGAATATGAAACAAAAACACCTAAGGCGGAAATTTTGGAGAAAGGCAAATTCAGATCTGAAGGAGGGATCCCACGATCGGAGAAAATGGAGAAAGGGGGTTCTGGATGGGAGAAGAATCAGGTGATGACCGGTGATGTAGGTGGAAGCTATTGATCGGAGGAAAATTTTGAGAAAGGGGTTCTGGATAGGAGAAGAATCCAGCTTTTTTTTTTTTTTTTTTTTTT